ACGTACGACAGCACATCGGGCGTGTTGTACAGACCTTTGTGGAAGAGCACCGTATACGAATGCTTCCATGGCTAGCTCGGTTTCCGCATCTGAATCCGATCAAACATGTTTGGGACATGACTGGTCAGAGACTTCTACGTTATCCGGCTTCCTCGGCTAACGTTGAGGAGCTATGGAGACGAGTTGAGGTGGCATGGTTGGCCATCCCTCTCGCTACAATACAGCGACTTATAGACTCCATGCCACGTCGTGTAGCGATGGTACGCGAAGCTCACGGGGGATACTCTCGCTATTGATGTTTCATCTCCCAGCAGAGTTGTGCCGCTCTCCATGTGAGAGTAAGTTACACTACTTTAGTACTACTTCCATACCAAATTTTATTCCGCTAGACACACGCGTTCAGATTATACAGGGTGTGCTCGTGAATTATTTCCAACAGTGTACATCGATTACATCGGATTTTTTGGTACACAAGTGCGGTTTTGCAAGCTTGCATGATTAAAATTTAATCCATCATCAAGCGGATTGCATAAGCAAAATGTTTGTGCAAAATTATCCTACAAACGCTAAAGCATACTTGTACAAAAAGATTGATCTTGCATACTTGTCAAGTTTGCTGTTACGTGTGTAGCCACCTTAAGCATTTGCGATCTGCGATATGAGCCATCGTACCCTAGCAACGAAATATAATTCGGCAATATGATTGGTTAATAATAATATCGCTAGGCAGATTGCAATCGCAATCGCTTTTATGTGTTCAAGCCTTAGTCGCGTAATTGTTAGCCATCAAACTGACAGAGAAGGAAAGAAGAAAGGGACTATCTAAGGATACTTAGTACCTTTCTATAACAAACGAAATATTCTCTCCTCACAATAAATGTTAGAGACTTAGGAATCATACTTCCTTTCTACACCCAACGATAGGTCTACAACAAGATAGTGCGAACATACACTAATCTCAAAATTGTCAAAAATGTTACTTAGCCCCTTTCTGAAATAAACGATTCTAATATTTACCCGTTAAACCAGTGTATGAAAACATTCCAATTTGAGATGTGATATGATTCCAAGTTCCTGGTGTTCCGAATCTTTCAAGGGCGTCGCGTAAAGCGTGTCTCATATTTACAACACGAGATGCCATAGTTTTAATAGCCTCTTTCCTTAAAAACAAATAAAAATGATAAAAATAATCTAAAAATTAAATATTTAGTTACCATTCGTCGTATAATTGAGCATTATTTAAGACAAAACTAACTACTCTTGCACCATGACTTGGTGGATTTGAATACATTCCTCTTATAATTAAGGTAAATTGAGACTTTACGTTAACAATAGCACAAGGATTGTTTACAACGCATACTAAATTTCCAACACGTTCATCTACAAACAACATTTTCGATATATTTATCAAGGTACAAATAATTTCCATTTAACTTACTGTACAACCCAAAATTTTTAGCAAAAGATTGACAAATCATCGTTTCAAATCCCCTATTAACGAAATATCTAATAGTATAAGCATCGTTATCTAAATCACCAGAGGCAAAACCTTGATATGCAGTATCCAAAACGGGAAATAATTGTTTTTCTTGGACAACATCGGCGATTTTCTCCCATTGTTCTGGGGTTGGGTCGCAACCTGTTGGGTTATGAGCGCAAGCGTGTAAAATAACGACAGAACGTTCGGGTGCGTTTCTAAGATCTTGTAACATTCCCTCCAAGTCTAATCCGCGTTTCTTTTCACACCAATATCTGTAGGTTCGAACTTCATGAAAACCAGCATTTTTAAACACCAAAGTGTGGTTTTCCCAAGTTGGCGAGGAAATGTAAAAAGTTTTGTAACCCAACTGTCTTGATAGAAACTCAGCGCAAACACGTAAAGCGCCTGTTCCTGATAAACATTGAATCCCAAAAGCCTAAAAGAAATAAAAAGGTTAATAATAAATAGTGTAATATATAGTATAATTTGAATTGGTTATGTTAACATACTAAGAGATAACCTTAACGTGTTAATTTGGCAAATAACATAACAAATAAATTTAAGAGAACGATTCGAAATTCTTGGAATTATAAAAGCGATAAAATTAACTGAAGTGGAATACTTCTTGAATTTTTCGGATAGCATAAAATGTAAGTAATTCAAAGTAATTTTATAATTAGAAAAACATAAATTAAGCATTCTACAATTATTACCATATTAAATCCTAGTTTATGTGAAAAATCTCAATTGAAAGTTTAGGTACACTTTCAGTTATACAATTTCATGAAAATTTTATGTCTATGTGTAACATAGGTAACATAGTTTGCTTTTTTTTGTGGTCAAAACAATGTTTGGGCGTGCATTACTGCTAACACTACTAGTCTGGACATCAATCAGTTTGTAGTGAATAGAGTCGCAGAACGCCTCTTCTATGAAAGGAGTTGCGTAAGGGTGTCCCAAGACAGTTTATTAGTCTTCATTTCGCTACCGTGTAACATTATAATATTACCAACGTCATTATAGTGTTGGTTTGCATTTGCTGGTAATTTCACAACTATGAAAATTATTTGACAACGTTTTTGTCGATCATTTCTTGGCGGAATACTCCGTCATAGAAAACTTTCCACAAGTAGAGTCTTAGAACAGATTCTTGTAGTGCACCAAGATCATTTCTCAGTTTTTGGGCATTTAGCAGTGATGTTAATGAATACTTATGTGTAAAAAACTAATGGTGTGCATAAAATAATCTAGAGAAGTTATTTTCCACGTGCTGAGGCATTTTTAATTGCTTATAGCAAGGGTCTCTAAGCTTTCCAGCCTTAGGGCTACACTGATTACTCTAGTCAGCTCCAAGGGTCAAAACCATTTAAATTCTCTTGCCATTATCTATAATTTTTAGACTAGTCACCAAGTACCAGTGTTGTGAAATACCCGAGTATTTATTTTCAACGGTAAATTTCCTGGATATATACCCGGAGGTATTTACCCAAGATGGGTATTTAGAGGTATTTATAAAATTTAATTCAAATTGAGTTGATGGCAGTTTTGCAAGCACTTCAAGAAAGCAGAGTCGATTATTGATATACCAAACTTATTTATAACATCTACAAGAATGCTACAATGACGGTAAAATTGCATGAAAGTACTGAAGAGAGTAGAAGTAGTAAAGTACTGATTGTGAGTAAAACAAGGCGATACACTGTTGAACCCAAATTGTTTATCACAGTTCTCAGAGTGCATTTAAACAATTGGATTCGACCGAAAAATGCATAAACATTGATTGCAAATGCTTAAGTAATTTGCGCTACGCGGACGATATAGTTCTTATATCGGATAGCCTTGGAGAGATTAAAGTAATGCTGAACGACTTAAAGGAGGTGTGTGCAAGAGTCCGGCTAAATATCAACGAGGAGAAATTGATCGATCCTGGGTCTAACTCTGAGGGACTACTTACGAAATTAAGACCTGTGAAGAAGAACTGGCGTAAATGATATTATTAACATTGTGGCAAAGCTTAAGTGGAACTGGGCAAGTGGACAAAATGGTTGCTTGAGTGAAGACCACGAGCGAACAGGCGAAATAGACGTCAAAAGAATGACTAACAATTGGATTCAGACAGCACAGAATAGAATCGAATGAAACAGAATAGGGGAGGTCTATGTCCAACAATTGACGCAGAGGGCTGCTTGATGATAATAATCATAATAATTTGATCTAATCTAAATTACGACAGATTCGTCTAATGGTAATACGTCTTTAATTATTGACAATTCCTCATCATCTTCCTCTTCATTTTTTTTGGAATCTTATATATTTTTACTGGTATCACTTTTATACCCACTGTTTAGGTATTTACCCTGGGCCGGGGTAAATACCCGGATAAATACCCATTTTAGAAATACCTACCCGTCGGGTATTTACCCAGCGCCCATCACTGCCAAGTACGGACTTTGAGCGGGCGCTATCACGCACTGTTACGACCGTGACATCTGGTGGTCACAAGCAGATATAGGCAGTAGTAGTACCCTCTCGCTAACAGGTGGCGCTAGTAGTATTTTCTAAAGCACAATAACCATCAAACATTCGCGAATAACCTGGGTGGTTCGAGAAAGTTCTGGTGTATACCCAACTGCCATACATAACAATATTTTGATTTGACTTGTTGTGTTTGGCTGTGATCTACTATACCCCGTTCACCGAACAGATGCAGTAATTTGAAATTCAATTATTATTAGCATTATTAGCAAAATTATCTTCGAATTTTGTTGCATATTTGTGTATTGAAGCGCGGACTGAAAGTGCAGCAAACTTCGATTACGAAACTCAGTACTAAACAAGAGGCTCCAACTGTACCCAAAGAAATGTGCCCCGAACGGTAAATTTATTTAAAACTGTCAGTTTGTCAGCAAACACTATGGCTCGGAGGGTAGAACGAACATCACAGAAAATATATCATCTCAACTGTCTGCAAATGTGGATGTCTTGAGTGGTTTTCTCTGGCCTTGGATAAGTCAACGGATGTGTCAGATACTGCTCAGGTGTTGATTTTTATTCGAGGAAAAGATAAAACTTGTTAATATTGATAGTATTAAAAAAAATTCGTTCTGTGTTAACGACGGCAGTCCCCAAAAATCCGATAGTTGCTAAATATACTAAAACATCGCCTCTGTCGAATAGCGTGGCCAGGTTTACTTGCTCTGACTTCCTAAGGGCTCTTTTATTCACCCCCATATTAAAGAAATTCGCCCTGTGTTAACGACGACAGTCCCCAAAGATCTGATAGGTGCTAAATATACCGAAACATCCCACCTGTCGAATAGCGTGGCTAGATTTACTTGCTCTGACTTCCTAAGGGCTCTTTTATTCACCCCCATATTAAAAAAATTCGCCCTGTGTTAACGACAGCAATCTGATAGGTGCTAAATATACCGAAACATCCCACCTGTCGAATAGCGTGGCTAGATTTACTTGCTCTGACTTCCTAAGGGCTCTTTTATTCACCACCATATTAAAAAAATTCGCTTTGTGTTAACGACGGCAGTCTCCAAAAATCTGATTGTTGCTAAATACACTAAAACATCGCCTCTATCGAATAGCGTGACCAGATTTACTTGCTCTAACTTCCTAAGGACTCTTTTATTCACCCCCATATTGTAAAAATTCGCCCTGTGTTAACGACAGCAGTCCCCAAAGATCTGATAATTGCTAAATATACCGCAACATCCCGCCTGTCGAATAGCGTGGCCAGATTTACTTGCTCTGACTTAATAAGGGCTCTTTTATTCACCCCATATTAAAAAAATTCGCCCTGTGTTAATGACGGCAGTCCCCAAAGATCTGATAGGTGCTAAATATACCGAAACATCCCACCTGTCGAATAGCGTGGCTAGATTTACTTGCTCTGACTTCCTAAGGGCTACCCCATATTAAAAAAATTCGCCCTGTGTTAATGACGGCAGTCCCCAAAGATCTGATAGGTGCTAAATATACCGAAACATCCCACCTGTCGAATAGCGTGGCTAGATTTACTTGCTCTGACTTCCTAAGGGCTCTTTTATTCACCCCCATATTAAAAAAATTCGCCCTGTGTTAACGACAGCAGTTGTTAACTGTTGGGTATATTTAGCACCTATCAGATCTTTGGGGACTGCCGTCGTTAACACAGGGCGAATTTCCACCTAACTAAATCCAGCTAAATCTGCAGTTATGCTGTTCGGCAATCGGCGTGTCTGTGCGGAGTTGAAAAATCTAATAAACATTAACATAGATGGATGTACCCTCCCCATTGTCGAGGAGGCTAAGAGTTTGGGTCTTTCTTTGTCAAATGATTTTAGATATGGCACTCTAATTAGCCGGTACATAAAAAATGCATATATGGGCCTGCGGATGATATATCCTCGCCGCTCGTGTCTTCCTACTCGCTTAAGAAGGAGACTATGTGAAGCACTTGTGTTGTCACAATTTAATTACTTGGTTCCAGTGTATCACCCTGCGATTGGTACTCTTGATGCTAAACGCATTCAAGTAGTTCAAAATAACTGTTTAAGATTTACTTATAATATCCGTAAATACGATTCCATAACTCATAAACTAACTGAAGCAGGGTGGTTGTCAATGGGTAATAGAAGACAATTTCACACGCTGCTATTTTATAATAAATTAATTAACTCTGAAACTCCTGAGTATTTATTTAATAAAATTCGTTTTAACTGTTTGGTTCGGACTCGTGATACAAGAGGAAGATACGACATTTATCCCCCGTATCACAGAACTTCAATGTTTAAACGTTCTTTTTCCTACCATATATACAAATCATATAATGAGTTGCCTATTGAGCTTAGAATTGCTGATGTAGCGCGGTTTCGAATGGCACTTTATGCGGGGCTACTCGAGAATCAGACTTTGATTATCAGTCAGGGACGATATTTGAATGTATTGGGCGACGCTTTCAGTTGGTAGCACTGGTTGGTTATTTGACGGTCTGGCATATTTGATTTTGCTTTTTCTATTTTCATTTTTTTTGTTTTCGTTTAATTTTTGATATCTTTATATTAAGTCTGTAAAATTTATATATGCGCATTTTTCTTTTTTCTCTTCTCTTAATTGTGTCTGATGTAGATTGATTTAAGTAATCGGAATGTGAATTAATGTTAGTTTTATTAGTATTATTAAATCTTTTTATTTTTGTATACTTTATTTTTTTTTTCTCTTTCTTTTGTATCAGGGTTACAATGGAAGATCAGGTCGTTGTTCCTGAATTGTCGCCCGGCGGTTGTGCGAAGCGAATAGTTAGTAGCTTTCCTTATTTTCGTTCTAATAACTTGTATTTAATGTATGCATTGTTGTTAAACTGCTATGATTTTTTTTGCTTATTTGTAGCTTTGAACAATAAACGATTATTTATTTATTTATATAGGCGGTTTCATTTAAAAAAACCTAAGTTGTATTTATAACTCAAAAACTGTGATGACTAGAAAAAATCTACGTGCACCATTGGATTCTACGTGAAAAAAATCTATTAGAACCCGTTTTTACTTTTTTACTATGTTTCCGGATAGGCGAGATACACGGAGTGTCTGAAAATCGTAAATTTTGAAACTGTATATCAAAAACGAAGAGGGTTATGAAAATTTGGTTTGCGTCATTGTAAGTTTCACAAAAAAGTAGCTCAGGTTCGCGAAAACCGCAACTTTCTATCTTTCATAATAACTGAAATATGTACCCTGCAAACCCATCGAAATTTGGACACCTTGTACAGGGTGGGCAAATTTGGGTGTTATTATAGGCTATCTCAGAAACTGTAAGAGATAAGAAAAAAGTAGGTGTCATGTCCCGGTCTTTTTTTTCGAGACTAACCCAATCCAGCAAACACCAAACCTCTATCTTCTTTTGTTTTTAAGTTATAGCCAAAAAGTCAAATTTTCGTGATTTCAAAAAATGCTCATATTTCGTTTATTTTTAAAATTAGAGAAATGGGGTTGATACGTTCTTAAGGCACATTTTTAAGTAGAATGAAAAATTTTTAAAATATTTGATGATTTTTGAGATACAACACAAAGTTGTACTTTTTTAAATATAAACTATACTTGATTATGATGTTAATGAAAAGAGCATATTTTTAGCTCTCCAATGATGTATCGCATGTATGGTGTATTTGCGGAAAATAAGTATATTCTACTTAACAAAGTGTCTTAGGAACGTATCAACCCCATTTCTCTAATTTCAAAAATAAACGAAATACAGTACAAGCGCGCTAACATGAACACTCGTTAGTTTGAACAGCTGGATAACATGAACAGATTTTACGCCCCAACATTTTGTACTGACAGCCGTATAGTGTGAACAACGTTTGCTTCGCGATAGTATGAATACGTCTTTGTTGACTTTTAACTTGTTTGAACTTGTTTACAATACATATAACCAGCATTAATATTATTCACTGTAGTTAGATCTACCCCATTCTTCTACTAGATAATGCTCCTAGTCACCCACCAAAAGAGAAGCTAAGAACAGCCGATGGACGCTAGATCAGAACGTATCTTATAAAATTAACAAAACTTTACCATAGGAAGGGCCTTTTAAGTTCAATTGTAGGAAAGAGTGGTCAATGAACAGAGAGTCTGTAACTTTGAACAATACGGGATGCTATAATACATCTGACGATTGCGTGGAATAAACTTAATCCTGATATAATTCGTAAATGTTGGAATTACATTTTAAAGTGTAACGAAGCGGACGAAGATGATATTCCCCTATTGGCAATTGTGAAGCAAATTAATGCCGCTAAAGCGATTGACTAGAATGAAGCACTTAAGGACACAGTTACACCACTTAATGAAAAAAATTATGGTAACACATCTAAAGACATAGAAATATGGAATGAAGATCGTCAAGATGGATCTGAAATCGAAATCTTCGACGATGAAATTCCTGAGGATGAGGAAGCAGAATTAGATCCTCAGCGTGTTTCACATGCTGCTGCTGCAAAAGCTTTGGGTTTAGCAGTGCAATGGGCTCAAGAAAATAATCTTGACATAACTAAAAATTTATTGCTTTAAAATATATTAGAAGAGGCTGCCCTTTTGAATATTCATTCTAAAAAAATTCTGAAAAAAAATTCCAACTTTTTTTCAGATCTAAAATAAATATGTAATACGGTTGTACATACATATGTACAGGGTGTCCCAATTTCGATGTCTGCATAGGCTATCTCCGAAACTAAAAGAGATTGAAAAAAAGTAGCTTAAGTAGCTAGAAATTGTATAACTAGAAACACATATAAACACCAAGAGTTGAAGCCACCGTTCGATTTGTTTTGTTTACGTTTTCACTCAGTCCAGAACGGAAAGCGCTCAGATCGGATCGTCCGGCCGACGAACACCGAGTATTTCCGAACAGGCCAATCTTTTTATGGTTTCTTTGAAAATAAATTTACCTGATTATTGTTTATCCATGTTTACCGAACCTTAATAAATGAATAATTCTCTCCTAAGTAAACAAGGCTTGTGCGCGCATTTGTGTTTTGGCTTTGGCGAAGTTAACATTTTAGTAGTACTGTATTTTTAGGACTATAAGACGCACCTTTTTACATAGAAAAATGGACTCAATCTTTGGGTGCGTTTTATGGTCCGAAGGTACCATTAAAATATTTTTTTCAGTAAATCGTGTCTAAATTTGAGATGTGTCTTATCATCCGGTGCGTCTTATAGCCCGAAAAATGCGGTATATTTTTCTGACAAAAGCTTTCATACAAAATGATTTCAGTTTTCCTAAAGGTAGAAAAAAAAATTTTTAACTATAAATTGTCACAAAACCATTTAGACATTTTTTAATGCAGCTAGGTGACGTTGTGGGTATTGTAACAATCCTACTGCACTACAATTCGAACAAGAATACAAAAAACTATTGGTACATACCGGCAGTAAATGGGCTGAATCTGGAAATGCAATTGCATTAGATCAAATAATAATTGACTAATATTGAATAATTGAATAACTAATATTTTAAATTGTTATTATTTATTATTAAATTTATTATTTGTTATTTATTGTTATTATTAAAAAACTAATATTACTTGCCAATTTTGTTTAAATATAGTAGAAGGAATTAGTGATATTTCAATGCTACAGGTACAAAAGACATATGGGGTTTTGACTAAAGCTTCTGAGTTTGTAGTCAAACTTTACTTAATTAGCGAAAAAATTATTAGAGACTATAAAAGACAACGTATTATTTCAATAACAAGAACATACTTTTAAAGTTAACTAATTCTATTTTATTAAGTTTACCTCAAAACATGTATGATCTTTTGGAGATCATGCATATGATGATGTTATTGATGGGCATGAAATACAACGTATAAAGTTAATAATAACAAAATTTTTTAACATAAAGTTATTTAATGAAACCAAGTTAATAAATCAAGAACCTAGGCTTTGACATATGGTAACAAACAAATATTATTTTCAAATCAATGAGAGTTATTTTAAAATTTATATTTATAAGTTAAGTTTTAAGTTTTTTGTTATGTAATAAAAATTTTGAAACAAAATGCCAATGTTATTTGCAAGTACTGTAAAATTCTAATTATATCATCTTTAATTTACTTGTAAGAAATAAACCGTTCACAATTTATACCGTTACAATTATAAATTAATTAATTACAAAAGAAATTAAAGTTTACATTCCTTAATAAACATTTCAACCATACTCAATAAAAAAAATAATGATAATATACATTTCTTCATGTACGCCACTGTGTATGTGTGATTTTACCGAAACTATACACGCCACTGTCAGTGGGACTAACACCAAAACAAACACTTGAACGTTGGCTTCAATCTCATATACGGGCGGAGATAGGCAATGCTGTTTCTAGTTATACAATTTCTTTGGGTTAGTCTCAAAAAAAGAGATCGGGACATATACCTACTATTTTCGTACCTCTTATAGTTTCTGAGATAGCCTATAATAACACCCAAATTTGCCCACCCTGTATATTATCCGCCAATTTCTAAACATCCTGTATATTATCATTATCACTTAATATTTATTTTTTATTATATTATATCTTGATAACAACTTGGTATGTTATCTCTGACTTTTCCAATGATAGAATAATAACTAAAAGTGGGAGCAGAAACAGTCAGGTCAGTAACCCATTCATAATCCTTTTAAAAGCTTTCTATTCGTTTTCTCAGTACCTAAACATGATATTAGAGACGAAAAATATTGTTACTATAAAGATTATTGATCAATTATATATGTTTGGCTATCAAACTTAATAAGTTATATTTAATTTCAAAACTTAATAAGTTAATCTTACAAAATACAACGCAATGAGTGGGGCAATAAGATAACTAATCTTAACTTTATCTAAACCAATAAACTCCTACACCCAATCGAAATATTTGCATAATCATTCTCAATTTGAAACACTTTAAAACTCATAATAATTAACTTAAAAACTTACCCTATTTTCACGAATAGCTGGACTATCATCACCTAATACCATTTTAGTAACTGCAGCAGTGAAACTATCAAGGCCCAAAACTGGCAAATACTCTTTAGTTAAAGTTTCATCTTCAGCTATTATCTTTTCGGCCTTTTTTACAACGGGCAAAACCCATGGTTGTCCATTTTCGGTTCTATAAGCTGTATAAAAATTAAGATGAAATTAAAGTAACATGTTTTTATTTTAATTACCTCCGACTCCTAAATTAACTTTGTTAGGGAAAGTATCATCAGTAAACGCTTTAGTTAAAGCAAAAACTTCGATCGGTGGACCTTGTTGAACATTGGAAAACACGGACATTTTTGCGGTATTCTTTTTTGATATAAAACTTTCCTTAACAGTGTCGATTAAAGTGATTAAACTGAATACTGGAGGTCACCTTCTATTTTAAATGCATTCCCCCAACCGCAGTGATTATCGCGCGTATGTCACGTGATCGGATCGTTCCTATCAATTTTCGTAAGTTGACAAGTTTTTTGTTATGAAAAACATTTTTTTAATACTAAACCAAGTTATGAAATATCTTATTATCGCCACTTGTGTTAAATAAACGTTAGTGCTTTCGTTGGCATTGATATTATTTCATTTCTTTGTAAAATAATCATTGATTTTTACAAACATATGTTATTTTTAGGTTATGGTTTTTTAATTGTCAAAATTTTATCTGTCAAACGTCACTTCACTTTTTAGTAGCTCAAAAGTGTTTTTACACGGTTATATTTATGTTTACAGAAATTTTAACTATATACTAAGAAATGGCTCAACAATCGATACCGCTAATTCTACAAGAAGATTACGAACAGGGTGGAAAAGAATATGAGGAGGACATTGAAAATGATTTTGCTTATCGAAACAATGTTAAGCAAGCATCGAGGGAAGTTCGATTTGGTTTTATTCGAAAAGTTTACAGCTTATTAGCTTTCCAGTTGATTTTAACTGTCATTATAGCTGCAGTGTTTATGTTTACACCTCCTATTAAAGAATTTATTCATAAGAAGTAATATTTTGGGTTTGAGACATATACATTTCTTTATTAATTCTTTTTTAATTTAGTGACTGGTTAATGATGATTGCTATGTTTAGTAGCTTTGGATTATTAATTGCTTTACACATTAAAAGGAAGGATACACCAACTAATTTCATATTATTAACGGCATTTGTAAGTAATAATTTTGATATATATTCAAAAATAACATAATTAATTGATTTTAGACTGTTGTTTTGGCATATTCTTTAGGAGTGACCATAACTTATTTTGAAAAAGCTGTTGTCCTACAAGCTTTAGGATTAACTGTACTTATTGTAGCTGTATTAACACTTTTTACATTCCAAACAAAATATGATTTATCTTCGATGCATTCAATGTAAGATACAATTTTATTTTTAAACATTCTTTTTTAATAATTCTTTAATATGTTTTTAGATTATTTGCAGGTCTTTTGATTTTAATAGTTGGTGGATTTATGCAGATCTTTTTACAATCGACAGTCTTTGAGATTATTTTGTCTTTGGGAGGAGCTTTTATATTCAGTATTTTTATTATCGTCGATACTCAAATGATAATGGAAAAATTATCTGCTGAAGAATACATTTTGGCTACTATCAATTTGTATTTGGATATTGTTAACCTATTTATTTATATACTGCGTCTTTTGGAAGCTATGCGTCAATAAAATGTTTAATTTAATTCTTTTTGTTGTAATATATCGAGATTAATACAGTTAAATGAAAAGTAGATGGTAAGATGTTTTTAACATCTTGACTTAAATTACTTGAATTATAATATATATCATAGTCATAAGCACATACATAGGTTGTTTTATTGTGAGTACTAATTTGTGAAAATTTTGTGATAGGAAGTTGAAGGATAAAATAAATTTAAAAAATTATGATTATTTAGTTTTATTTTCTTTGGTTTAATAACACACATGTAAATACACTGTCCATCAAAAAGACAACAACACCCTGTTTTTTGGTTTCATTCCACCTACTTTTTTAAAATTTTGTTTATTTGGGAAATTCTATTCTATCTTTCTTTCGAGCTAAAATATTTTCAAGATGGTCACCACTTCCGATCCACAGAAACCGCTATTTTAAATGGAATGTTGTGGTGTTTATTACTTATTCAAATCCTTTATACAATAGGTTAACTTTGATGGGAATTATTGATACCTAAAACTTTTCACTTTCTAACTATTTTAATTTTGATATTCTTTCAAAAGTTATCAATAAGATTTTTCAAAACGGGTTGGTTCATTGGAAAGAAGACTTTTATTAACACTTTGGGAAATTTTCATACTCATATTCCAAGAAATGGATTTTATACGAATTTTTAAAACTTAATCGGCGAAAATTGATAAAATTGTCGATCATTTCAAAAATTTATTTCTCAAGAACTAAAAGTGATTTTTCAAAACGGCTTGTTGCATTAAAAAGAGGATACTTTAGTTAATAATTTGTGGTATTTTCACAAGGATCCTTCAAGAAATGAATTTTATAGCGAATTTTGAAAGTTATCGATGAAAATTGCTACATCGTAATTTTATCAAAACTTCAAATATTGTTTTCTCAAAAACTAAAACTTATTCTTCAAAACGGGTTGGTTCATTGGAAAGAGGACACTTTTATTAACATTTTCGGAAATTTTCATGCTCATATTCCAAGAAATCGATTTCATACGAACTATTAAAATGTAATCGGCGAAAATTGCAAAATTCGAAAAAAATTGTTGATTATTTCAATAATTTATTTCTCAAGAACTGAAAGTGATTTTTCAAAACGGCCTTTTGCATTAAAAAGAGGATACTTTAGTTAATAATTGGTGATATTTCCACAAGGATCCTTGAAGAAATTAATTTTATAGCGAATTTTGCAAGTTATCGATGAAAATTGCAACGTCGAAAATTTTATCAAAACTTCAAATATTGTTCTCTCAAAAACTAAGTTATTTTTCAAAACGGGTTCGTTCATTGGAAAGAGGACACTTTTATTAACACTTTGGGAAATTTTCATACTCATATTCCAAGAACTGGATTTTATACGAATTTTTAAATCTAAATTGGCGAAAATTGCAAAATTTTTTTGTTATTTCATTAATATCTTATAATTTTTATTTCATATCATAAACTAGAATCTTTAAGCTTCAATTTAACACATATCGTGATCCTTAAAAATTCAATCGGTATTTATAAAGTTGACAATGTCTTCTTTAATATTTCTTTCTTGTCTTTATAACTTTTATGTCATATCATTAACAGGAATCTTTAAGATTCCATTTATAGCTATTAACATACCGAGAAATGTTATGACATTTATTACAGCCGCAGATGTCAAGTTGAAATCCGAGCTCGAAGAGCAAGGATTTTAAGACATCTAAGGCTGTAATGTGTCATAACATCGAGGTTTGTTCAATAGTTTATCGGTTTCAGGCGACCACCTTCGCATTTTGATGACTTTAATGCGAACAATAGTAAATCAAAAATTCATTTGCAACGTTTTCCGTAAAAGTCAAAGTCGTTANTCACATTCCAAGAACTGGATTTTATACGAATTTTTAAAACTTACTTGGCGAGAATTGAAAAATTTGAAAATATTATCGATCATTTCAAAAATTTATTTCTCAAGAACTGAAAGAGATTTTTCAAAACGGCTTTTTGCATTAAAAAGAGGATACTATAATTAATAATTGGTGATATTTCCACAAGGATCCTTCAAGAAATTAATTTTATAGCGAATTTTGAAAATTATCAATGAAAATTGCTACATCGAAAATTTTATCAAAACTTCAAATATTGTTTTCTTAAAAACTAAAAGTTATTTTTCAAAACGGGTAGGTTCATTGGAAAGAGGACACTTTTATTAACACTTTGGGAAATGTTCATACTTATATTCCAAGAAATAGATTTAATACGAATTTTTAAAAGTTAATCAGCGAAAATTGCAAGATTCGAAAAAATTGTCGATTATGTTAAAAATCTATTTTTCAAAACCTAAAAGTGATTTTTCAGAACGGCTTTTTGCATTAAAAAGAGGATACTTTAGTTAATAATTGGTGATATTTCCACAAGGATCCTTCAAGAAATTAATTTTATAGCGAATTCGAAGATTCGAAAAAATTCGATCATTTCAAAAATTTATTTCTCAAGAACTGTTTCAAAACGACTTGTTGCATTAAAAAGAGGATACTATAATTAATAATTGAAAGTGATAACAGCGACAGTTCCGTTAGTAATGAATGTGATGACGAATTACAAGCGAAGAGAAGAAAACTAGACGAAACTGCAACAAGAGATTTTATATATCATATTGGGATTGTTACAATGAGGTTGTTAATGACAAATCTGATATAAATAAAGCTGTATTCAATGAAAAAAGTTCTATTGAGGTTGAACTTGATTATTATCTGCAGTGTCCAACACCTAAAAGAGATACTAATTCCTGTGAATGATGGAGTACTAAGTATGTAATAGGTTTTTAGTAATATATTTGGTAACTATCCGGTATTCGGCCGGATTTTAAAAAATGGCCGGATAGGCCGAATACCGGATAGTTGCCGGATATCCATTCCATCAGTAGTATTTAACATACATATCACATCTAGATTCATAAAAGTACAGTCGGTATGATTTTTTGAAAGTTTGGCGTTATTTTTGGTTTACAAATTTAACAATTTTCTTTTTAATAACTATTTTTTGATATATCAATAATATTTTATAATTTTTATATCATATCATAAACTAGAATCTTTAAGCTTCAATTTAACATACATATATCAAGATCCTTAAAAGTACAGTCCATATAATTGTTTGATAATTTCATGTTATTTTTGATCTACATATAAATTTAACAATTTCTTTAATAATTTTTTTGGAAATTTCAATAATATTATCTTATAATTTTAATATGACATCATAAATTTGAATCTTTAAGCTTTAATTTAACATACATATCATGTCATGATTCTTAAAAATAGTCGATATGACTTTTTGAAAATTTCGCATTATTTTTGAGTTATAAATTTGACAATTTCTTTTTTAATAATTTTTTCTTGGATATTTCAATAATATTATCTGATAGTTTTTATATCATATCATAAGCTAGAATCTTTAAACTACAATTTAACATACATATCATATCGAGACTCTTACAAATACACTCAATATGATTTTTTGAAAATTTCGCGTTATTTTTGATTTATAAACTTAACAATTTCTTCTTTCACGGTATTTTTCTGGAAATTTTAATAATATTATCTTATAAGTTTTATATCATATCATAAACTAGAATCTTTAACATACATATCATATAAAGATTCTTAAAAATGATCGATATGATTTTTTGATTTGATCATATCAATCGATATGATTTTTTTTTAATATTACGCCTTATTTTTGATTTACAAATTCGATAATTTCTTCTTTAATGATATTTTCCTGAAAATTTCAATAATATTATCTTATAGTTTTCATATCATACCATAAACTACAATCCTTAAGCTTCAATTTAACACATATCGTGATCCTTAAAAATACAATCGGTATTTATAAACTTGACAATTTCTTCTTTAATATTTCTTTCTTGTCAATTTCAATAATATGTTATAATTTGTATATCATATCATTAACAGGAATCTTTAAGTTTCCATTTAACATACATATCATATCAATTACACAAAAATGAACTTTTAATTTGTCACATGCACTTCTTTGGCATTTTTGACTTTATTTAGACTCTCTAAGGCGGAAAATAGGTGTAGAAAAATTTTGGCATCCTAAGTATCTATCTAAGTATATTAGCCTCCTAAGTTCTCGGGAAAGAAGTCGAGGTGCGAGTATAAAAAGTGAATTTTGAGTGACATATTACAACCCAATGCTTGATACGTCGAAAGTAGTTCTTCTATCAGATCTTTGTAGTTACTTGCTTTTTGGTTGCACAAAAAATTTTGCACAACATTTTTAAAACTTTTCCAAGCAGATTTCTCTAACGGACTTAACTTTTCTGCGAACATGTTATCTTTGAACAATTCCCGGATCTCAGGTCCGACGAAAATTCCTTCATTTTAGAGTCACTAACTTTAGGAAACTTTTCTTTCAAGTATAGAAAACCTGAACCGTTGCGATCTATGGCTTTGACAACATTTTTAATCATNACTCTCTAAGGTTGCGTTCACAACGCTTACTCGATTCACCCAGGTTTAACCCTAGTCGTTCATAATGACATCCATGTGGACAACATATATAATAATGGATGTCATTATGAACGACTAGGATTAAACCTGGGTGAATCGAGTAAGCGTTGTGAACGCAACCTAAGGTGGAAAACAGGTGTAGAAAAATTTGGCACCCATATTTTTTTGTGACAGGAAATTTATATTTTATAAAAAATACTGAGACTTTACATGAACTACAACTTGAAAATGTTTTTTAAAACTAAAAATTATGATTTTCTTGAGTATCTGGCTTAAGACTGGTCTCTTGCAAGTGTCCAAGAAAAATCTCTCAACATACGAGGACTCCATTTGCTTTGGTATCGTTTTTCCATGCTGGAAATATCCTAATGGAACCTTTCTCCATCTTTGTCGCTAACGTCTCCTAAGTTCTCGGGAAAGAAGTCGAGGTGCGAGTATAAAAAGTGAATTTTGAGTGACATATTACAACCCAATGCTTGATACGTCGAAAGTAGTTCTTCTATCAGATCTTTGTAGTTACTTGCTTTTTGGTTGCACAAAAAATTTTGCACAACATTTTTAAAACTTTTCCAAGCAGATTTCTCTAACGGACTTAACTTTTCTGCGAACATGTTATCTTTGAACAATTCCCGGATCTCAGGTCCGACGAAAATTCCTTCATTTTAGAGTCACTAACTTTAGGAAACTTTTCTTTCAAGTATAGAAAACCTGAACCGTTGCGATCTATGGCTTTGACAACATTTTTAATCATGCCTAGTTTTATATGTAATGGTCACAGAAATACTGTGGTGGGCTTGGCAACAGGTGGGTGTAAAACATTTTTATTCTCAGGAGTGAGACTCATGGGAATAAAAATCTATCTCTTTCGATCTCTACTATCCCACACCCATAAAAAGCAACAATACTTTGTAAAACCCAGCTGCAATCCGAGAAGTAAAGAAACGACTTTGAAGTCACCACATAATTTAATTGAAAATTGATTATACTGAATTTTTTCTAGTACCAATTTCATGTTTTCGTAAGTTTCTTTCATAACGGAAGCATATATATCGTTAAGATCAGCTAGAGTTAAGAAATGAGGTTTCTTACCTTCATGCACATAGGTTGAATCATGAAACAATGTTAAGCAAGCATCGAGGAAAGTTCGATTTGGTTTTATTCGAAAAGTTTACAGCTTATTAGCTTTCCAGTTGATTTTAACTGTCATTATAGCTGCAGTGTTTATGTTTACACCTCCTATTAAAGAATTTATTCATAAGAAGTAATATTTTGGGTTTGAGACATATACATTTCTTTATTAATTCTTTTTTAATTTAGTGACTGGTTAATGATGATTGCTATGTTTAGTAGCTTTGGATTATTAATTGCTTTACACATTAAAAGGAAAGATACACCAACTAATTTCATATTATTAACGGCATTTGTAAGTAATAATTTTGATATATATTCAAAAATAACATAATTAATTGATTTTAGACTGTTGTTTTGGCATATTCTTTAGGAGTGACCATAACTTATTTTGAAAAAGCTGTTGTCCTACAAGCTTTAGGATTAACTGTACTTATTGTAGCTGTATTAACACTTTTTACATTCCAAACAAAATATGATTTATCTTCGATGCATTCAATGTAAGATACAATTTTATTTTTAAACATTCTTTTTTAATAATTCTTTAATATGTGTTTTTAGATTATTTGCAGGTCTTTTGATTTTAATAGTTGGTGGATTTATGCAGATCTTTTTACAATCCACAGTCTTTGAGATTATTTTGTCTTTGGGAGGAGCTTTTATATTCAGTATTTTTATTATCGTCGATACTCAAATGATAATGGAAAAATTATCTGCTGAAGAATACATTTTGGCTACTATCAATTTGTATTTGGATATTGTTAACCTATTTATTTATATACTGCGTCTTTTGGAAGCTATGCGTCAATAAAATGTTTAATTTAATTCTTTTTGTTGTAATATATCGAGATTAATACAGTTAAATGAAAAGTAGATGGTAAGATGTTTTTAACATCTTGACTTAAATTACTTGAATTATAATATATATCATAGTCATAAGCACATACATAGGTTGTTTTATTGTGAGTACTAATTTGTGAAAATTTTGTGATAGGAAGTTGAAGGATATAAATAAATTTAAAAAATTGTGAATAGTTTTATTCTCTTTGGTTTAATAACGCACATTTAAATACACTGTCCGTCAAAAAGACAACAACACCCTGTTTTTTGGTTTCATTGCACCTAAGTTTCTGAAATTTGTTTATTTGGGAAATTCGTTCTGATCTTCCACAGAAAGTAGATCAGAAAATCGCTATTTTAAATGAAATGTTGTGGTTTTTATTACTTATTCAAATCCCTTATACAAAAATTCTAATTATTTTAATTTTGATATTCTTTCAGAAGTTATCAATGAGGTTTTCAAAACCGAATATCGAAATATTATCTTATAGTATCTAATAGTGATGGAATGGATAGTGATTTTGCGAAAAGTTGGATATTCAGCATCCCCTTTGGCCGGATATCCCAAAAAGTAAACGTTATTTTTCAAATCGGGTTGGTTCATTGGAAAGAGAACACTTTTATTAACACTTTGGGAAATTTTCATACTCATATTCCAAGAAATGGATTTTATACGAATTTTTAAAACTTAATCGGCGAAAATTGAAAAATTCGAAAAAATTGTCGATCATTTCAAAAATGTGTTTCTCAAGAACTAAAAGTGATTTTTCAAAACGGCTTGTTGCATTAAAAAGAGGATACTATAATTAATAATCGAAAGTGATAACAGCGACAGTTCTGTCAGTAATGAATGTGATGATGAATTACAAGCGAAGAGAAGAAAACTAGACGAAACTGCAATAAGATATTTTATATATCGCATTGGGATTGTTACAATGAGGTTGTCAATGTCAAATCTGATATACATAAAGTTGTATTCAATGAAAAAAGTCCTATTGGGGTTGTACTTGATTATTATCTGCAGTGTCCAACACCTAAACAGAGTACTAAGTAATAGGTTTTTAATATCCGGCCAAAGCCAGATACAGGATAGCGGCCGGATATCCGTTCCATCATTAGTATTTAACATACATATCATATTCAGATTCTTAAAAATATAATCGGTATGATTTTTGGAAAACTTCACGTTATTTTAAATTCATAAATGTAACAATCTTTTCTTTAATAATTATTTCCTGGAAATTTTAATAATATTATCATATACTTTTTATATCATATCATAAACTAGAATTTGTAAACTACAATTTAACATATACATCATATCAAGATTCATAAAAATACAGTCGGTATGATTTTTTGAAAATTTCGCGTTATTTTTGAGTTATAAATTTTATAATTTAATTTCCTTATTTTTTTTTTTAATTTCAATAATATCTTATAAATTATATATCATATCATAAAGTAGAATCTTTAAGCTTTAATTTAACGTACATATCATATGATTCTTAAAAATACAGTCGCTGACTTTTTCAAAATTTCGCATTATTTTTAAGTTATCAATTTGACAATTTCTTTTTTAATAACGTTTTCTTGGAAATTTCAAAAATATTATCTTATAACATTTATATCAGATCATAAACTAGAATCAATTTAACATACATATCATATTATCAAGATTCTTAAAAATACATATGACTTTTTGAAAATTACGCATCATTTTTGAGTTATAAATTTGAAAATCACTTTTTTAATATTTTTTTCTTGGAAATTTCAATAATATTATCTGATAGTTTTTATATCATATCATAAGCTAGAATCTTTAAGCTTCAATTTAACATACATATCATATTAAGATCCTCAAAAATACAGTCCATATAATTGTTCGACAATTTCTTTAATAACTTTTTTTGGAAATTTCAATAATATTATCTTATAATTTTCATATCATATCATAAATTTGAATCTTTAAGCTTTAATTTAACATACATATCATGTCATGATCCTTAAAAATACAGTTGATATGGCTTTTTGAAAATTTTTGAATTTTTTGTAAATTTGATAATTTCTTTTTTAATAATTTTTACTTGGAAATTTCAATAATAGTATCTTATAGATTTTATATCATATTAAGGTTCTTAAAAATACTATCGGTATCTTTGTTTGATAATTTTGCGTTATTTTTGATTTATAAATTGGACAATTTCTTCTTTCACGGTATTTTCCTGGAAATTTCAATAATATTATCTTATAATTTTTATATCATATCATAAACTAGAATCTTTAGCATACATATCATATAAAGATTCTTAAAAATACAATCGATATGAATTTTTTTAATATTACACTTTATTTTTGATTTACAAATTTTATAATTTCTTCTTTAATGATATTTTCCTGGAAATTTCAATAAAATTATCTTATAGTTTTCATATCATACCGTAAGCTACAATCTTTAAGCTTCAATTTAACACATCATATCGTGATCCTTAAAAATACAATCGGTATTTATAAACTTGACAATTTCTTCTTTAATATTTTTTTCTTCATTTTTTTTCAATAATATCTTATAATTTTTATATGACCACATTAACAGGAATCTTTAAGCTTCCATTTAACATACATATCCTATCAATTACACTGATTGACAAAAATGAACTTTTAATTTGTCACATGCACTTTTTTAGCATTTTTGACTTTATTTAGACTCTCTAAGGTGGAAAACAGGTGTGGAAAAATTTTGGCACCCATATTTTTTTTGTGACAGGAAATATATATTTTATAAAAAATACTGAGAGTTTACATGAACTATAACTGGAAAATGCTTTTTAAAACTAAAAATTGGTTGCCCAAGCAGATTTCTCTAACGGACTCAATTTTTTTTCGAATATGTTATCTTTGAACAATTCCCTGATCTGAGGTCCGACAGAAATTCCTTCCTTTAGTTTAGAGTCACTTTAGGAAACTTTTCTTTCAAGTAAATAAAACCTGGACCGTTACGATCTATGGCTTTGACAAAATTTTTTATCAAGCTTAGTTTTATATGTAGTGGTGGTAGAAGTACTCTGGTGGACTCAACAAGAGGAGGGTGTAAAACATTTTTATACCCAGGAGTGAGGCACTCGCGCTTTGGCAAGTCTTTCTTGCGGTAATGATTGTTTCGATCTCTGCTGTCCCACTCACATAAAAAGCAACAATATTTTGTAAAACCCATCTGCCACATAGTCAGCACATAATTTAAATGAAAATTGATTATACTGACTTTTTTCTAGTACCAATTTAATATTTTTGCAAGTTTCGGAAGCATATGCTACCGGACCAGAGGGTAATCTATTTCCATTTTGCAAGAGTACAGCTTTTAAACTGGGTTTTGACGAGTCTATAAACAAGCGCCAATCTTGTGATTCAAATTCAATATCTAGCAAGTTCATGACCGATATAATACACTAAATTTTCTTCTTGTGAGAAATATTTTCTTAGTTCTTCGTCACGGCTACAAAAAAAACACACCTTAGTATCGGGATGAAGCAAATTCCATTCTTTCAATCTGGATCCTAATACTTCAGACTACTTTTTTGACAATTTTATGTCGCGAACCAGATCGTTAAGATCAGCTTGAGTTAGGAAATGAGGTTCCTTACCTTCAGGCACATAGGTTGGATCATGAATTTCATCTTTAATTGCACTACAAGAAGGTAAATAGATGCCATCATTTGCTGCGTCATTTGTCTGCTTTGGCATTGCAGGTACAGGTAAATCAGCACTATCAGCATATTTCACAGTATGTTTTGACGCCATATTCATTCCATTTATATTAGTCAAGCAAAAGTAGTAATGAGATACGTGATCTACAGGCCATGTCCAAATCATGGGTTTTCCGAAAATCATATATCGCGTTCTTTTTGCCCAACCTAAGATTTTTTACGCATGTCGTACAGCATATATGAGGTGCCCAATACTTATTTTGATGAGCCACAGAGAAACCAAAATGTGCACGATAACACTGCTTTACACCACATACGTATCAAAAACTGTTAGGATGATTAATACACTTCCTTTGCACGTTGAGAAACTAACAATGATTATCTTGTGTATGCTAAACTCACAATTTTACACTGTTTTAAAGGATTACTTGATGCAATTCGTCATTACATAACTACATACAGTAATATTAGCGGAAAATAGAGTAAAATTTCCAAATTTGTGGGACAGAAAAAAAAATTTCTGTTTTATAATGAGGGTATATAGTAAAGTAATAATTAGCATACAGAATCCGTGTGGGTAAAAAAACCTTGTCGATCATAGTTATCAAGACTATGTGCTAAATGTGATGACTGTTGCAAGACAAGAAGACGTTGAAGAAAAAGCGGTTCTGCAGTACATCATTGATGGCATATCTGACAACAAAGTATTACTTTATACGACCGGAAGTTTAGTAGAGCTAAAGAAGTAATACGAAATTTATGAACTCATAAAGTCGAAGAGTGGGAAAATGGAAAAAGCATCAAGTAGTAAGCCGGAAGTAAAGGTGAAGTTGGACAAACCGCTACACTGCTTGAAGTGCGGTGAAAAGGGACACAAATCGCAGGAGTGCAAGAATAAAGCAAAAAGTATGAAATGTTTTGCATGTAATTAATAACTTCGGAGTGCCCTAAAGAAAGAAAGAAATCAGCATAGATGGAGCTTGTACAACAGCTTTAATAGACGATAAAATAAAAAGGATTAAGCCAAGGAGAAGTAGAGATATTAAGCTCATTTGAGTCACACATTGAAGTTGATGGTGAAAATACAAAAATACACCTGGTTAATGATGAAGTTATGCCCGTAAGTTGTTTATTGGGAAAACCCTTATTGAAGCAAGCTAAGCTCACCCTTACTCCAGAAGAAGTAAAGATTTCAAAGTGGATGGAAGAAGACTTTGTTTTATCGATATAGATAGACGAAATAGAGTCAGTTAAGGAAATACAAGTAGAAAAAGGATGCAAATATCTGACCACAACCGTTGTAATAAGATGTTTAAGGAAATCAGCATAGATGGAGATTGTACAACAGCTTTAATAGACGATAAAATAAAAAGGATTAAGCCAAGGAGAAGTAGAGATATTAAGCTCATTTGAGTCACACATTGAAGTTGATGGTGAAAATACAAAAATATACCTAGTTAATGATGAAGTTATGCCCGTAAGTTGTTTATT